CTCAACATGACCGCCATGTTTGTAACGCTGTTGAACCAAAGTGAAATATAGTTGAGTTCCTATCACTGTTGTATTCCCTGCCCCCCACATTTTTGGTGCCGGGAGCAGGATGGAAGAATTACCGAAACTACTAGCCTCTAGAAGAGCACACAAGGCGTATTTAACCAAGTTAAGACACAAAATCGACAAGACTGCAAAAGGCACAATTACCCACAATGAGATTGCTCTACTCAAGTCGCTCGTCGACCTGAATCTGATTACACCGCCGCCAGTGAGTACATTCCACACTAGTCATTTACCTAAACTTGTATTGCCATCGTTTGATGGCAACCCGCTTGAATAGCAATCGTTTTGGGACGCTTTCCGGTCTGCAGTACACGATAACTCTTCAATCAGTGATGTTCAAAAGTTCAATTATTTGAGAGCACAGTTACGCGACGGAGCTGATAGAGTCATTGGCGGGTTGCCATTAACCAGTGCTAATTATGCTAAGAGTACCCAGTTATTGAGAGATACATTCAACCCCACAAGATCATCAATGCACACATGGAGGCACTGCTCATCCTTCCATCACCCACTGACCATTTAAGTAGTTTGAGGCTTTTCTACGACTCAGTTGAGACACACATCAGGGGACTTGAATCACTACGGAAGAAAACAGAAACATATGGAGATATTCTTGGCCCCATCATTCAGAAATTACCTAATGGAATTAAGAGGAATCTAGCAAGACAAAATGGAAGGAGTGGCAGCTTGATAATTTGCGCAAGGCAATCTTGAATGAAATTGAAATCTTAGAAGCAGGTCAGAACAGTTCTAGTGATTATGAACTCAGTAGCAACTCAACAACTGCTGCTACTGCTGCATTTCTCACAACTTCAAAGCCACATACACCTGTTCTCCCTCCTCCCACTGATCAGCACCCACCAAGCGAACATGCCTTTTCTGTAAGGGCAAACATTGCCCAAATGATTGCAATGTCATGACAGATAAGGGAAAGAGATACTCCATTGTAGGTGATGCAATCGTCATTCAGTATCCAAATGCAAGTCACTGAACCGAAGCAAGGTATGCCACCGAAAGCATAATACCAGTCTTTGTCAAAATGTAGAACCACCTCCAGTGTCATCCACTGAACCAGCAACTACAAACAAGATTTCAGGCGCACACATCACAGACAAGACTGTAGCACGTTCAGTCTCAGCCTACCACATTGGTGATTCTGACAGACACACGCCTGTTCCGCTGAAAACAGCTGTTCCTTCTGTTAGAAGTCACAACAACCACATCAGTGCGCACATTCTATTCGACGAAGGCTCTCAATGCTCCTTCATTAAATCAGATGTAGCGACCAAGCTTGATCTGAAACCAGAAAAGCAAGAGACAATATCTCTGTCAACTTTTGGTGGGAACACATCATCTGTTAAACGCATTGACACTGCTACCATTTATCTCGAAACTGCTCAAGAGGAGACCATGCCCATTCCCATGATCAATTGTGCCAACAATAGCTGCACCGCTCACTACTTACACTGGAGCCAACGTACGGGACTTGCCACATCTAAAGGGACTGTTATTAGCACAAATTAAAGTTGATGATTAACCTTTCACGGTTGATATTCTAATCCGTGCTGATCATTATTGGGACATTGTGGAAAGCGAAGTTATCAAGGGTCCAGGTCCCACAGCAGCCAAATTAAAGATAGGGTACCTCCTCTCGGGCCCCCTCTCTAACAGTAACCAATCAGAGAACCTCAACACTTCTATTTTAAATGTTGTGACTAAGCATCATCAAGAACAATTTGATTTGGAATGTTTCTGGCGAATTAAATCAGTTGGTGTTCAGCCAAACTCCTCAGAAGAAATGTCAGATGCCTCTCTGAAGTATTCTCAAGACTCGTCTATCATCTTGGAGGATGGCCGGTATGTAAATGTAAATGTAAATGTAAATGTAATTTGTTTACCCACGGAGCACCAAGGAGTTTACAGAACTCGTTCAGAAATGTCCGTGCATTCAAGGATCTCATTAGAATTTGAGAAATGTTGGTTTTTGAGGAGAGGGGAAAACCGGAGTACCTGGAGAAAAACCTCTTGGAGCAGAGAAGAGAACCAACAACAAACTCAACCCACATTTGACGCCGGGTCCGTGAATTGAACCCGGGACACATTGGTGGGAGGCGAGCGCTCTCACCACTGCGCCATCCCTGCTCCAGGTACAGTGCAAAGTTACCATGGCAACCAGAGCGTCCCCCTCTACCATCAAATGCAGAAATCACTAAGCACAGAACCTGCTCCATGATCAGAAAACTGACTGCAGATCCTGAGAACCTACGCATGTACAATGACATCATCCAAGAACAACAGTCTCGAGGCTTTATTGAAAGGGTGAACAATCCAGATATGACCAACAGAGTGTGTCATTACATACCTCATCATGCTGTCCTCAAGGACTCTACCACAACTCCCCTACACATTGTGTACGACTGCAGCTTCAAACAAGGTGAACAACCCAGCTTGAATGATTGCTTACAGCCAGGCCCTCCACTTCTCAATGACCTTAATGGCATACTTCTACCCTTCCGTCTCCACAAGTATGCCATAACTACAGACATTGAAAAGGCATTTTTACATGTAAACCTAGACCAAGCCAATCGAGATGCCATGCAATTCTACTGGCTATCTAATACAGGTGACCCAGAGAGTGAACTCATTGTGTACGGATTCAAGTCTGTTATGTTTGGTGCCACAAGTTCCCCCTTCATCTTAAACGTCATCCTCAACAAGCACCTCATGCAGTCTACAGACCAAGTCAGCATGGATATGCTTAGGAATCTGTACATGGACGACCTCACCTCAGGAAAAAGCGATGATAGTTCAGCAGTCAACTATTACCAAGATGCCAGGAACAAGATGTCACCAGTGGGCTTCACCCTCAGGTCATGGAGTTCAAACAGTCCTGGTGTTCAATGTCTTGCAGCCAAGGATCAAGTCCTTGACACCAGCCCAACTAGGAAGGTGCTTGGCATGCTTTGGAACATAACTTCAGACACATTACGATTCTCATGCAAACAAGCAACCTCTACCCCTTCCTGGTCAACCAAGAGAGAGGTCTTTCAAGAAACAGCAAAGGTCTTTGATCCACTTGGCTTACTTCAACCAGTCACCGCTGCTGCTAAGATTCTAATACAAGAACGGTGGAAGGAAGGGATTGACTGGGACGACCTTCTTCCACCTTCTCTTGATCAAAAATGGCATGCTGTAGCAAAGGAGATAGGAGATGCAACCAAACTTGAGTTCCCGCGTCGCTACTTCACTTCTGATGTCTCTGTCGATAGCAGTGGTACAGAACTACATGTTTTTGCTGATGCAAGCCAAAAGGCTTATGGAGCCGCTGCTTACTTTGTACGTGAAAACCAGTCGTCGCTAGCCATGGCAAAGTCGCATGTTGCTCCAACAAAGAAGAAACTCACCCTTCCAGAGCTGGAACTTATGGCAGCTTTAACAGCTGCATGTTTAGCTTCATATCTTCATGAACAAGTACAAGTTACAAGAGTCACATTGTGGTCTGACAACCAAATTGTACTTCATTGGCTCAATAGCACCAAGTTGCTGAAGCCGTTCATCAACACTTGCATCCAAGAAGTAAAGAAGCTGACATCTATTCCCAACTGGAAGTACTGCCCTACAGCTGAAAACCCCTCCGATCTTCTCACAAGAGGGATAACAGCACATCAACTGAAGAATTCTTCACTGTGGAAACATGGTCCCATATGGTTGCCAAACAGATCCCAGTGGCCCTCGTGGCCTACAACAGAGGTTCTCCACTTATCAGCCACTGAAAGCTCTACTGATGGGCCTTCCGCAGACAGCACAGTTCCTGTTCAACAACAAGGCCTTCATCGCCTGATCAATCCATCAGATTTCAGCAGTTTGCCAACGCTTCTCCGTGTTACAGCCTATGTTTTCAGATTTGTACAGCTTCTCCAGAAGAAAGTCAGCCAACAAGGTCCAGTTACAGCTATGGAATATGATCAAGCCATGACAGAATGGGTGAAGAATCCTCAATCTGTTGTCTTTCATGCTGAAGTTGACAGCCTCCCCTCAAAGTCACGACACCGAACAACTTTGGTGTGTCAACTTTGCCTTTTCCCTGATGACGGTGGTCTTCGACATTGTGGCGGGAGGATACACAACCCACCTTTAAGTGGCAATGCCAAATTTCCTCTGCTGCTACCAAGTAAAGACCACTTCACAGATCTAGTATTTCACTCCACCCATGTCAAGCAGCTTCATGCAGGTGTCAACTCAACACTCACCACCCTGCGTCAAAGTTACTGGGTTCCTTCTGGCCGACAACACATCAAAACCTTAATTGACAAATGCGTAACCTGCAGAAGGGTTTCAGGAACAGCCTACAATGCACCAGACCCACCACCCCTTCCCAAGTCAAGAATGCAACAAACACAACCCTTTGAGGTCACAGGAGTGGACTACACTGGAGCTCTGTATGTTCGAAATGCTGGAATTGAAACAAAGGTCTACATGTGTCTGTTTACAACAACCAGGGCTATTCATCTTGAAGTTGTTGAAGACTTGACTGTTGAGGCCTTCTTACTCACCTTTCGCAGATTTGCAAGTTGCAAATCTGTTCCAAGGAAACTAATATCTGACAATGCCTCAACATTCGTATCAGCGAACAATGAACTAAAGGAACTGTTTCAATCTCATGCGCACAAGGAATCACTCACTATGGAAGGCATTGAACGGTCACATATGTCTGTTTGTTTGTACAACAACCAGGGCTATTCATCTTGAAGTTGTTGAAGACTTGACTGTTGAGGCCTTCTTACACGCCTTTTGCAGATTTGCAAGTCGCAAGTCTCTTCCAAGGAAACTAATATCTGACAATGCCTCAACATTTCTATCAGCGAACAATGAACTAAAGGAACTGTTTCAATCTCATGCGCTCAAGGAATCACTCGCTAGGGAAGGCATTGAATGGCTATTCATCCCAAAGAAGGCGCCTTGGTACAGCAGGTTTTGGGAACGCCTCATCGGTCTTACCAAGTCCACCATTAAGAAGGTACTCGGCAGAGCTGCAGTCAACCTGTGCACTCTTCAAACAATTGTTCTTGAAGTGGAGGCAATTCTTAATGATTGCCCCCTAACCTATGTTTCCTTCGACATTAAGGATGAAGAGGCATTAACCCCCATGCATCTACTTTATGGCTGACGAATCACGTCACTACCACATCCACTAGTAGAGAGGGACGAAGTGAGTGATCCCACCTACCAAACAAACATAGATCTCCTGAGGAAGGCAAAACGTGTCACCTTACTGATTCAACACTTTTGGCAACGTTGGCGTCACAAGTACCTCACCTCCCTCCGAGAGTTCCACAAAGGTTCAGGAATCAACATGGAATCCGTGAAGGTTGGCGATGTAGTTCTAATCCACGATGACAACCTGAGAGTAAACTGGAAACTAGCACTTGTCACATCCATTAACAGAGGTCACGATGGACTTGTACGTTCTTTCAATTTACGTACTGCTAATGGAACAACAAACCGCCCCATAACAAGATTCCACCCTCTAGAAGTTCAAGCCAAGGAAGTACGGTGTCCCACAGAAGACGAAGCAACCACAATAGAAACTCCCACTCCTGCGAGAAGATCACAAAGAGATGCAGCACAACAGGCTGAAGAATTGCACACTGGGCTAAGGACATTTGTGCGCCCCCGGAGGATGTGAAATAGTTTAAATAGTGACTATGAACATTCGTTTCTATTCGTTTAATCTGCTATTTGTTGATTTTGAGTGATTTCCGGTCAGTGGTTGTTACTGTATTTAGTCTCGTCATTGCATACGTCATTACTCGGGACAGTACTAAACACGTTTTTCGTTCCCGCTCAAAAACTCGCTCAACATGACCGCCATTTTTGTAACACTGTTGAACCAAAGTGAAATATAGTCGAGTTCCTATCACTGTTGTATCTCCTGCTTCCCCACACTAAGCGTTTGGAAATTTTCAGTTCATCAGATTTTCATCCCTAGGTTGAGTCGCGTTGACAGATTGTAGATTTGGGAAGATTTTGGTCACATGCTAGGCAACGATGTTCAAGAAACAGATAAAATTTCATTTCAATCAGATCAAAACAATACGCTTTCACATAGACAACATTCACTTCTGAGTATGTGATATTGATGATCAATCTTCAAAGGCTTTTTAAACTTAAAGAAGATAACTGGTGTTTAAAAATTAAATCTCAAGTAAAATGTGTTTTGCTGTTATTTCGTGTCCGTCAAGCCTCTGTATCGCAGTGCAGTCCAATACAGTAAATGTTACACAGTAAATGTTTTGTTTTCATTATTTTGTGTCCATCAAGCCTCA